CTAAATAACACACACATATTATTGGTAATGGTTATTCACTGTGATTTTTTTAATGGTTTTTGGAGCAATAGAAAACTAGAAGTTTGGTTTTTAACAAATGTATAGAGTGATTTTTAGTTAGTTTTTTTCTCCAGCAATTTTTGTTTTTGTTTTTCTTTTTTGTTTTGTTTTGTTTTTTTTTTTTTTGTTTTTTTTTTCTTTGTGAAACCCGGCGGGTGAGAGAAAAAAGAAAACAAATATTGTTATCTGCACATGGAGCGCAAGAAGTGCGCCTAGTAGACGCGCCTACTAGGCGCGTACTTATACTCTTTCTCAATTAATTTTTTTTTTTGTTAGCCAACATTGTTTTTCATTTTTTCTTTTTCGTCCATTTTTTCTTGCCCACCTCTTTCTTTCTTAATTGAACTTCAAAAACCGCAAAAAAATCAAGAACTATTGAAGATGCTAAGCAGTCTTGACTCCTAATCTTAACCTTTGCTAAACTCCAATCATCCTAGGTTTCTTTTAGACCTGCTAAACCCAATTCATCCATCAAGTTAATTAATTTAAAGATTCTTTCCATTAGCATTAATCATTTCTCACTTAACATCCTCAGATAATGCCAACAAGGCAACAAGCCAACAACCTCACCATCAATAGTCAACCCAAAAATTCGTACTATTTAATTTTATATTATTCATCAATGATTAAATTATATGCCTCAAATTTTTTACTCCCATTCGTATATTCATAATTTTACGTAATTTGACTATTCACATCACAAATTAATTTTAAAATCAATTTAAATTTACAAAAATTAGGTTTAATAAATTTGACACATGCATGTACCATTATCCTAATCAATAGTCATCAAACAATAATTGCATTCTCGGCTCGTGGTAACGTGGTTAACCAACTAACTTTTGCTTCAACCAAAAGCATTTATTTTATTGCCCCACAATAAAATAAAAAAAAACATTTATTTTATTACTTTAGTTGCTCCATAAAACTTAAATTAGCTGTCGTTATAAAATTATGATTTTATTTTTATGTTTGGTATCTTGTGAAACTGTTTCACAGATTTCGATTCGTGAAACTAATCATATCTAATAAACACGCGTCATAATATAGCATTTTCGAATAATAAGCTGTTACAAAAAGTCAATTAATCAAACACTCATTATTTAATTAAGTCAAACAACTAATAGTGGTCAAATAAATAAAATTGACTGATAAGCTAATTATGTTACCGGAGCTTTATATTTTTATAATCCAAAATCGTTATAATAAACAAGATAAACATTCAGTGGTCCGTCAAATATTTGGTACAGATTAAAATGTGAAATGAAGTATAAAAAAGTCTAAAAAATTGGCCCAGCATTATTCACAAGAAAATGACTGTGATTGAACTTGTGAAGTCACTATTAATTGGAATTGGACTGAAATTAATCAATTAATTATATTTGACTAGAAATGCTCACATTTTTCGTGTTTTATATAAAAGTTGTTGCTTTCTTTGGAAATTAAATAAATAATAATGACAAGTATTTTCGGTAGTTTTAAGAAAAATATCAACACTATTTATATGTGTCTGAAAATCCCTAAAAAAGAAAAGAAAAGAAAACGTGTTAGTTACAAATCTAGATATGTACATCTCAACATACACAAAATTGTAAGGATTTTTAATAGTACTTTTAGCATCCATATGAGTACAATCAACATTGTATAATATTCTTAAAATATAGATATTATTGTTGTTATTAGGTTTCATGTTTGAATTTATTTTACGAGCAAATATAATTATATATATATATATATATATATATATATATATATATATATATATATTTAGAAAGAGAAAATTTTAGAAATAAAATATGTGTTCCATCTCAACTAAAAGCCTATATGGTATATGTTCACGTGTGAGCGCCGATTAGTCTTTTTTTTTTTCTTTTTTTTTTTTTTTCGGGTAACGCAAAAATCTGAACCCATGACTTTTGACATGACTCTGATACCAAATTGAAACATGTGTCCCATCTCAACTAAAAGTCTAAGCTGATAGTTGAATTACACATTTATGTTAATTATATGCTCAACCGTGCTTGCAAAGTTGTATTATCCCTCCATGTATCTCTAGAAAAATATGAGATACAACTTTATAAAACATAGCATTGTAATTTAATGTAAAATTCTCGTCTCAATATATATGTAAAAAAGCATATAATACAATTTTGTAAAATATAATACATTTAATGTAAATCATGATAAAATTTGCCTCTCCATGTATCTTTAAAAAAAATACAAAATATAACTTTACAAAACACATGATTAAAAAGAATCTCATAATCCCTATAATTGGTCCATTTTTTAAAAAAAAAATTGTTTCAAAGCCATGTGGAATGAAAGGCGTGCACAAATTTAAAGCCTCTCAATTTGACATGCACAGGAAAAATGTGACAAATTTGACAAAATGAGTCTCAATGTGCTATCTTAAATTACTTTTGTTGTTGTTATTAGGTGAATATCAAAATTATAGGGACATTGAGAAAATAGTAATTAGTGACTAGCAAATATGATCATATGACAATAGTATTTATTTTTAAAAGTGAGAGTATCACATACATAAATATAGTCTAATCTACGACGTCATTGTAAAATTCTTTGTAAATATAATTAATAATATAGTACGTTTGACCATTATATTCAACAACAATATATATATATATATATATATATATATATATATATATATATATATATATATATATATATATATATATATATATATATATATATGTATATATATATATATATGTATATATATATATATATATATATATATATATATATATATTTATTTATTTCATATATATAGGTATTGCCTGGATCAAATGACATGAATCGGACTCCACCCTACTGCAAAAAGCAAGTCGAACAAATTAAATCCCTAAAAGCTTTTTTTTTATTTTTTAAATATGACATTTATCACAACCTATACTTAATTATAAATGCCAATATAAATTGGTAAAGAATAAATGCATAGTCAATAAATGTGAGAATGATTTTTTTTTTTTTTTTGAATACTATTGATTCTATTAGAGGATAGTATTTGTTCTATACTTTCATTATCTATTGCAGCCTAAAAGATAAGAGTCAATTTTCCACTATCGAAGTTTGATCCAGTGATCTCTCTCTCAAGAAAAGTTACTGAGGTCTCATCTGAGTATAAGGTGCTTAGTAAATGTGAGAATTAATAGTAGTAGTAGTAAAGAGAGAGGATGAGAATTCCTTCACTCATGGGCAAGATGATGATGGTGAGAATGACATAATACACAGTGCCCAGCCTCTTCCTCCTCCATTAATATTCCTTTCTATCTTCTCATGAAAGGAAGCCCACCACCTCACCCCTCCATTATTTCAACCCACTCATTACACCTATCATTGTTTGTCCCTTTCCCATTCCAAAGGATAATTCTCTCTTTTATTTATTCTTTTTATCAACTTATATCACACTTACTCTTACTTTTTATTTCATTTTTTTTAATATAATGATTGATCTTCGATATACAATAGGCGAATTGGATTTATTATTATTATTATTATTATTATTATTATTATTATTATTATATTATTTTATTTTATTTTATTTTCTTTTTCTATTGAGCAATTAGTAAAAAAATACATGACGAGAACGAGTGTTGGTCTATGGTGAAATTCATGATAATTTTAATCCTTTATTCTATTTGGTGCTATAATTTTCTTTTGTTAGTTTTACTTTTTGACACTTAACACGTATTAACTTTTTTGATTATTTTCAAAAAAGGAAATGCATGCCAATTCTTATGTTAAATAACAACCTTGATATTATATTTTATTATTAAATTTTAACTTTTATCCATTAATATTCTTGACTAGTTGATAAAGTATAGGTGCATAAGGTTGACACGAGACTTGTCTCTTGTATAATTTTGATTAACAAACAATCTCAACCATGCATTTTTCTTATGGTCGACTTAGAAACTAAAGCACCCTTGAAAGTTTTTAAAATTTTCATTCACTCTAAAATGGTGAGAAATCTAAACTTTTCGATTGGATAGGACTTCTCTTACAAGTTTGGAGATCTGAAAAATTCTTTGGGGGTGTTTGGTAAATAGTTGTTAGTTGATTGTGTTAATGTGTTTGATATAGCATTAGCTGATTGTAGAAAAGTGTTTGGTGAATTAACAGTTAGCTGATTTTTTTTTTTTTTTTTTTTTTTTTTTTTTGGTGTAGCCCAGGACCATTGGTTAAGGATGGATGAGTCCTTTTACACTTAACCACACCCCCAGGTTCTATTAGTTGATAGTTGATTAAATGCAAAATGACTCTCAAAAAGCTAATCGAAAAAAACTATTTTGAACATTTTTTAAAATTTTAGCATTTTGGAGTAAGAAATTGTTACAAAAAGTTAATTAATCAAACACTCTTATTGATTGTTTAACCAAGTCAAAAAAAAAAAAAAGAAAGATGTTATTAGTTAGTTAATTGCAATTAAGAGTTAAGTAAGAAAAGCAATTTCCACAATTCCATGCAAGTATGCAAGTGCAGATAGAGATGCAAAGGAAAAGTAGGAACGAAAGAGATAAAAAGGCAAAGCCTCGTACGTGTGAAATCAAACATATATGGCTTCAAAAGCAAAAGGGGTGGCCATATGAGTGACTTTTTAACCATATTTAGGTTTTAAGTAACAACAACCTTATAAATTCCAACTTGGGATAGACATTTCAACTTTCTTTTTTTAACTTTTTCCATCCCTCACCTCATTTTTCTTATCCCCTTCTCCCACTTGTTCTTGCCTCCCATGATCAAAGTGCCACCACCTAATTCCATCTTTTTAAAACGCTCCTCGACTGAACAGGACCGAACAGACGTGACTGCATGAGACACTTAAAACTTAATTTTTACCATTACAGAAGGATGAGATTTAACTACTGTCATTGAAGATCGATGAGATTTATCCTGAAAAGTTTAGGAATAGTTGGAAGGAGAGGACATATTTTTGCTAATATTCCAAAGGAGCCCTCCAAATCTCCCATTGATCCAAGCTGGTTCCTCCTAGGCTCCACCCTAGCAATTTGACTAGCCGTCAAAATTTGATTGGTTGGGAAGAAAAAGTCAAAGGAGGAGGAAAATTCAACAATTCCCATTTCCAAGCAATCAAATCCTGACATGTCACTATTTAACATTGCATTTCTTATCTCCACACAACCCCCAACCTCTAAGAAAAGCCCTAATTTCACCACCCAATTTTCTTGTCATCAATTAACCCATCACAATTTTCTTTATTTTCTTTGATTTTTGTCCAAAAAAGATTCAAACTTTATTATTTTCAAAACAACCCAAAAGGAGTAAGTGCTCCCCTGCAATGATTTTACCCCAATAATTCACCTTCACGCACCAAAAAAGAAAAAAGAAAAGAAAAGAAAATTCTTATTAACTTGAGCTACCCAGACCACAGATATGCTGGAAACTGCAGTGTTGCTGGATAATCCGGGCGGCGGAGGAGGCGCTGCCGCGGTGGCGGAGCCGCAGAATGACGGCGGCGGTGGGGAAGAAGAGGGCGGCAACCAGAACTCCGGCGGCGGCAACCGGTGGCCGCACGAAGAAACGCTCACTCTGCTCAAGATTCGCTCTGAAATGGACCTTGCATTTCGTGATTCCACCCTCAAAGGCCCTCTCTGGGATGAAGTTTCAAGGTAGGATTCCATATCCCATCTCTCTAACTGGGATTTTCTTTCAATTTCACCATTTTTGTCCCTTTCTTTTTGTTTTTTGCCTTTTCTGGAGCATTCCAGAAAGATGTAATCAAGGTAGCATATGAATGAATATATCCCATCCTTACAACATTCATAAGTACAAATTTGTTTCTTCTTCGCTTAGTATGATGTTTAATGATCTGTTTCACACTTTGATTCAAAATTGTTTCTTCTTCGCTTACTACTGTATTTTTGGTTCACAAATTCTTGAAATACAAACATTAAACTCATACAATGATGAACTTCAACCCCCAAACTCCCTTAAACAAGGAATCTAAATGTCAATTCGACTATAAAGTTCAAACCCGAAACTCGTTTGAACAAGAGATCTGGATGCCAATTCAACTAACCAGTGTCGGTTTGATGAACTATAGTAAATTTTCAAACTTTCATTTTGATCTAATTTCAAGAATGTTAGTAGTTAATCAGAATAACTGAACTAATTCTGGGTAATTTATGTTGTTGTTTGGTATATCGTTAGTGTTTGATATTTGGATTTGTAGTGATGAATTCTGGGGAAGAAATGAGGTATAAACTTATGGTTGATGATCAGGAAAATGGAGGAGTTTGGGTATCAGAGAAGCGCGAAGAAGTGCAGGGAGAAGTTCGAGAACATATACAAATATCATCGGAGAACCAAGGAGGGCCGATCCGGGCGGCAAACCGGGAAGAACTACCGATTCTTTGAGCAGCTGGAGGTTTTCGACGCCATGCAGAGCCACAACAAGATCGGCGGCGCCGCCGCGGCGGAGCCGCCGGAGTTGGCGTCTCCGTCGCCGGTGGCGATGATAAAGCCCAACACCAACATAGTGCAGGATTTCAGAATGCGGCCTCACGGCTTCGGCGCCGACGCCGACGTACTGTCGGCGTCGACGTCGACGACGTACTCCTCCGGCGGGAGCTCCGGGAGGAAGAGGAAGCTGGCGGGGTATTTCGAGAAGATGATGAAGGAGGTGCTGGAGAAGCAGGAGGATCTGCAGAAGAAGTTTCTAGAAGCAATAGAGCGGTGCGAGAACGAGAGAATGGCGAGAGAAGAAGCATGGAAGAAACAAGAAATTGAAAGGCTAAAGAGAGAACAAGAATCCCTAGCCAAAGAGCGCGCCATTGCAGAGGCAAAAGACGCCGCCGTCATCGCTTTTCTGCAGAAAATCTCAAAACAACCAATCCTCGTACCTCACAAACCTCAGTCCGAGGATGTTCAAGAATTTGCGGCGCAGACAAAGGAGAATGGCTCTGGAGACACCACAATCTCCTCATCATCATCATCATCCAGATGGCCTAAACCCGAAATTGAAGCTCTGATCCAAATCAGAACAAATCTGGACCTTCAACACCATGACAATGGATCAAAAGGCCCCTTGTGGGAAGACATCTCAGCTGAGATGAAGAAGCTCGGATACGATAGAAACGCCAAAAGATGCAAGGAGAAATGGGAGAACATAAACAAGTATTACAGGCGAGTAAAAGACAGCAATAAGAGAAGGCCAGAGGACTCGAAAACCTGCCCTTATTTCCACATTCTTGATTCCCTCTATCAAACCAAGTCGAGAAAAGTCGAGCTAAGTCCCACCCCAGATCTTCCCAACTTCAACCTCAAAGCCGGGGAAATGTTACTGCAAATCATGACCCAAAACCAACACCAACAACCCGGGAAAGAGGACGGGGAAAGATCAAACGCCCATCAAACCCAAGAACACGACGAAGATAGCGAAGAAAGCGAAGATGATGAGTTCCAGATTGTTGCCAACCAAGCTAGCTAGCTCTCAATGTGATTTGGAGGGTAAGGTAAAGATTCCATTTTTTTTCGGGTGGCACCTTAATATGCATATTTAATCATACCATACATTGTTGGGTAAATAGTGATACAGAATAGGTGTTAAGCTGTTTTGCATATTCCCTGTCCTTGTGTCTTTACAAGTTCAAATTGGTCAGTTTGTGTTTGTTTGTAGTTTGTACCCCCCCCCCCCCCCCCCCCCAAAGTACAGACCTAAATCTCATTGATTGCTTCTTTATTTATTGCAATAAAACCATCCACAGTGGTGAAATACTTCGAATTTTAGCTGTTGAGCATATAGTCATTAATGTGCAATCCAACTATCAGCTTAAGCTTTTAGTTGAGATGGAGCACATGCTTTAATTTTAGCATGTAAGTTGTGTACCGTTTTCAGACAAAACATATTCATGATTGTTGAGAAAGTTTAGCAGACAACATTGTCCTAAGACAGGGACAAACACAAAGAATGATCACCCATGTAGTTGTTGTATCTAACTATCTACCATTCTGTATATGCTTGAATTTATCTTCAATGACATGTTACCATTAGTCAATTTAATACAAGTTCGTCCAACCACTAACACTTTCGATAAAATTTTCAGTCAATTAAATTTCATTCATGTGGTAAGTATATTCTTAAAAATCCAAACTTTTTGGGTTGGGAAATCATTCCATAAAGAAGAGTTTTGTCCATAATATATTTCTGGTCATGAGTTGTTTGGGAGTTTGTTAATAAACTTCCTTCTTTTTCTCTCTTTCTTGACTATTCTCTAGTTATATTATTTGTGGCTTCCTTTTAATTAGTTTAGTTTGTGGCTAAAATGTAGAGGTTAGTTGGAGCCCTCTACTATATAAACCCCATCTCATTTGTATAAAAACACACAACAAAAAAACCTTCTTCCTCTCCTTTGTTTGCTTCCTTAAGTCTGAAGGGAACACTAGCTGTGGATCTGAGAACAATAGACCAATTTTAATTGTTCGAAAAGGATGAGCATTTTTTGAGCTCACCATTTGTAGTTTTTTCCATCAAGCGCAGTGATCTTGATAGATCGAGTTTCTGTCATACCCAATCTATTCAAGATCACTGTTCTCGATGGGAAAAATTACAAGCAGTGGGCTCGAAGAATGTTCATCTTTTTTGAACAATTAAAATTGATTTATGTCCACCCGAACCTACTCAGCCTTTTCTTGGTCCTAGAGAAGGCATCCCTGAACTAGATTACACTCCTGGTCAAGAACACGGTACAAACTCCTCTTCACCTTGTTTGTTCTCTTTTTTCATAAAAGATTGTCCTTTGACTTTGCCTATATGTTTATAACGTTTTGCACCCAAACTATAAGGTCGATTGGTAGGAAATAAAATTAGAAATTACTCTTCAATGAAATTCCATTAAGAGCATTTTACCTGGCAAGCCCAAACTATTTTAATGGTATCCCTCTTAATTGTCATTTAATTAAGTTATTAGAAAATTTTACCATACTAAAAAGACACCATGCCCACTTGTTTAAACAAAAATAAGTGAAATTTAACAGGAGTGGGTTTACTCATACACGTTTCGGGTGATGATTATGAATTTTTCTTGTTGTAAAAAAATGTGACATTTTTTTAATTAATTAATTAATTATATGATGTACATTTAAATTAAATGTTAATATATAATTTTGATTTATCAATTTATCATTACTTTTGAATTGAAGGATTATAATAAAGGTTTGTATGGATATCTATGTACAATAATGGTATAAGAACTGATCTGAGCTTTGTTTTGTCACAAAAGGCAAAATTCTCTTACCTCCATGACACCCACACCTCAACTCGACAGGATAGTACATGGATAAAACACAGATTCACAGTAAAGCCCATTAGGTGAGAGAATTAGAGCCTAATGCACACGGAGCCCACCATATTTGGTGAGCTTTGTTTTTAGCTTATGTAATGTAGCCTGTAGGGATGTACGTGTGGGTGTATTGAAACATCAATAATGTTTGGCAACAAGGATATGGATACCACCAAAGATTTCATTATGCAGACTAATCAGCCAAAAAATGTCAAGATGCAGATACAATGAAAATGGATTGTACAAAAAAGATTTGGTCTTTAAGAGCCAATACAGACACACAAGTAGACAAGGGGAAAACATTAATGTCACAAAGCTCAAATCACACAGAATATGGTGCACAGTATTGATCCTAGGAAATAATTCAAGCCCAAACCACACGGAAAATGGTACAAAATATTGATCCTTCAAAAGAATTGACTCCTTCCCAGTTCCCGCTAATGGTTACTGATACCCTTTAGCTGAAAGGAAAAGGTGGGTGATCTTCTGATTGAATATGGTCTAGTATTCTGCATTGTACATAGAACACTCGACATTCTTTCAGTTCTCCGTCATCTTCTCTAGTGTACTGGGAGGTTTCTTGTCCTCTATTTGAGGCATTGCTGGTGCTTGTTCTGTTTTCTTCTCGGGATTTTGGTTTTCTGTTTTTTTCTCCACAGGAGTGTCAGATTTCTGAGAATCTTCGGTGGGCTTCTCCTCTTCAGTTCTCACCTCAGTTGTTGGTTTAACATCCTCTATTTTCTCCTCGCAAGACGTTTCAAGCTTCGGGACCTCTGCTGTTGATGCAACTTCTTGCGTCTTTTGTGCTTCGGTTTTTGCAGGAGCATCAACGACGACTGGAGCTGGAGTCTGCTCCTCTGCACATTTGGGCTTTTCGGTTTCTTTTGAATTGGGTGCAGACAGATCAGTTGCTTGCTTGGTTTCGTAAGTCTCATCTTTCCCATCCTCTAAGCTCTTCTCCTCGCTCTACAGAAACCGAGATGCATGCCTCAAGAATTCAAGAATTTATACATCTCTCGAGTAATAAAGCAAACGATATATACAGTCGTGTACTTGATGCATATTAAAGCAAATTTGGCGGAAGCCCCTGAAGGGCTACAACCTATAGCTTTTAGCGTAGTAAGCATTTGATCCTAGCAAGTAGTATCACAGGTAAACAAACGAATTAAATTTCCTTAATATCTTTGTTTCCATCCAGCAATGAATCAAGAACAGATTCAACAGACAGATCATTAGAGAAGAAAAAAGTAATGACAGTCCATTCATGTTCAAAACAAATAAACAAATCCCACTGGCCATAACTCTATTTCTGAAATCATTAGCTCTAAATGCCAGAAAGCGACGTGTCCAACTTTCTTACTTTCTTTTCCCCCGTTTTAGCTAGCCGAGGAGAGAAACCGAGCTAGCTTTCAATGCCTTAGTCTACATTTTTCTGTGAAACATGACTATACAGCACCAACACAAGTGATAAAAAGTTGGGAAAGTTAACATTACTTTAACTTTTATTTGTGTTTTGAAATCAAAAAAAGGGTGTGATGGCATGCTGTTTTACGAGGCACGGTTTGAAACTCATCACAATACTTAATCAAATGGGAATATAAGAAATGATTGCCAGTGCTTGGCTAATCATGACCACAAGCCAAAAGGCAAGGGGAAAATAGTGAAAAAGGAACCACCTTCAGCTTTAACACTCTATTCATGTCTTTCCCCCTTCCTTCTACCATGTCTGTATTCATGTTCTTGATAATTAAGTGGTAAAAAAGACAACTTTTCCTCTTTCTTCTTCTTTTTTGAAGAATGAATTTCCATTCCCCTTTGATTCTTTCAAGCTCGAGGAAAAGATATTTCCTTTGAACATGAGAGGACCCACAACATTCAAGGCAGACAAAATATACACCAAGATTCAAGAGCAATCGATTTGGGTATTGAAAAAAGCACACAAAGTTTGAAACTTGAGCAAAATCACACACTAAAACCAAGAAATGAGCAGGAAATAAAAAAAAAATGTACGGATAATTGGTACCTCCTTGAACAGGTTGCTTAAAGAACGGCGTTTGTTGGCCTCGTCATCAGCCCCGGCGGCTCCTTCTTTCACCGCCGTCAAGTCCTCGGCGGCACTCTCTTCCTTCTGCGCCTCAGGCATCGGAGCTCCGGCGGCGCCGTCCTTCAACACCTTAGGCTTGGTGGCACAACCCCCCATGTTCTCTCCCAATGAGCTTAATATCTCGTCAATAAACTATCCCCTTTGGGCAGGATATGTAAGAAATGCAGGATATTTTAGTGGCTAGAGAAGAAAATGAGTTTTTTAAAAAGGGTATTTAAAAAAAAGATAAAAAAATTCTCAGGCTTTTGGTTTGTCAAAGAGGGTAGGGGAGAGGGAGAGCAATATATAGAGTGGGGAAGACAGCGGTGTTGTTTGTTCCGACATTTATTCTGCCATGTTGTAACCAGGGACACTGCTTTAATAGGTGTCCAACGTGCCTGCCTGTCTCTACTCTTCAACAAATTCATCACTTTATAAAAGAATTGACTCAATCTCAAGAGTTTTTATTTGTCCTTACCCGTTAAATAAGTTAAATCGTGAAATGTGCTTCAATGATAATGACGTCTGAACAGAAGCCGATATTAGTCTCCGCCTTGAATGTGACATTTAAGATTTCTCATTATGTCCATGTGTCACGTATGATCCATAATATTCAGAAGGTAAACAGATGGCCCAACTATTCCAAGTTCATTAATATTCAGCACTAATAGGAAAAATTTCCATTCAAGAAAACAGTTCCAATAACTTCCCATTTCACTTTCAAAATTGGTACTGGTGACAAAATGTTGGTGGGCACCTAGGAATATCATATAAAATGACATTCTAGGGAATGAGTTCAGCCATTGATACAAGAAGGAGAATTCCACTTGGTTGTATACTCTCATTTGGCTTTACCAAGACTGAGAAGTGTACCAATTTGCCAGTACTGTTTTTTTGCCTTCTTTGATCCCTTGGTTGTTGGAGCAGTTGCAGTTTCTTCTTCTCTGTTCTCAGGTTCTGAGGAATGATCCAATCCAAACTCTGAACCCTCTTCTGCTTCTGCTTCTGCTTCAATTTCAGGTTTTGGGACATCATCCTCTGCAATGTCCAAATCCTCTTCTGTTTTCCACTCAGGAGTTCTGTCATCCATCCTAGTAACCTCTGTTACTTCCTTAACCTCCTCTATTGTCTTCTCCATGCATGTTTCTGTCTCTTCTGGCTCGGGTTCTGCAGATGCATAAAGAACAATGAGATCCAGTGCCTCCTGCTCTTCTATTGGGGTTTCATGTTCTTGGGGCTTGGATTTGGATGGCTCAGAAGCTTGCTTGGTTTCAAAAATTTCCTCCTTTACCTCTTCTAAGCTCTGCTCTTCATCCTAAGAACAAAAGACAGCAAAAATACCTTCAATTTTGTGAATCGCACAAGAATGAGAACAAAATGTTGGAAATGCAGGGATTCCAGACACAAATTTAACAGCAAAAAAGTTACAGAGAAACATAGCAGAACAAAACATCAAACACTTGGCATGCATGAAATGAGAACATAAGCATCATAAACAAAAATTTTTTTAAAAAATAAAATTTGATGGTATTTGGCTTTGATTTAATGCTAGAAATGCAGACACAAATTTAACAGCAAAAAAAGTTACAGACGAACATGGAAGAACAAAATATCAAACACATGGCACGCATGAAAAAATGAAAATGCTACCTGAGTGGACAGGTGATCAGTCACAGAAGGGATGTCGTTAACATCATCGACATCTTCAAATTGGGACGCCCCCTCGACGGCGGCGGCGGGGGCTTCTTCCACCACCACCACGTCCTTGGTGACCTCCTCCTCCACCACCACCGGCGGCGGCAGTGGGATCGGGGCGTCGATGTCGTCCCTCAAAACCTTAGGCCTGCTCGCACATCCTCCCATCTCACTGCGTGAAAAAATGAACGAGGCGGTGGCAAGAGAGAGAGAGGGAGAAAAGATCGGACGGTCTTTTCTTTTCTCTCTCTCTCTCGCCGCTCGAGGAAGACGATGGGAGAATGACGGCAGTGAGACCCAAAGGGAGCTCTGCAGGTAGTTTATACATGGCGGGAGCCGGGAGGAGCAATGTTAACCGTTCGTTGCTCCGACTCCGACTCCGACATTTGTTCTCCGTCGCAGGCGGACTCCTGCTCTACTTTATTTTGCAAAAATATTAATTAACGTTATTTAATAGTTTTGTATTTTTGTTAACGTTTGGAGGATTTATTTTACCATTTTCTCTTCCCTAATTTTAAATATAAACTACTACTTGTAACTTTTTATTTGTTACGTATAACACATTATTGGTTGGTCAGATTGCATTTACACAATGACCAATTTAGAATGGGACAACCTCAATTGAGTTAGTCACTCAGACAATCAGTAAACTTAATAACTATAAGTTAAGGTTCCAAGTTAGACAATTGTGAGTTACTTATTTATAACTTTCTTGATTCAAGTTATTCAATTATAAGTAACATAAATAATTTATCTTTTTGTGGTTCTTGTCGACAAGTGTCAGTGGTTATAAGACAAGTTTCACCGGAGGTGTAGCTATCAACTTTCCCCTAAATCAAAATAGGTTATAGTAGCCCACATAGACAGTTTAGTTAGTTCTCAGGTGATAAATTGTGTGCAAGGAGACATGAACAAGACAACATAGTCGCAGTGTAAGGTTACACCAAATATGGTGAGTTCATTGTGTGCAACAAGCATTGACCCTCCAACCTAAGAGGTCATTGAGTCACCATAATTTATCCATCTACTATAGAGTTAATTACTTCGTATATTTTTTGTCCTAGATTTATAGGTGACAGTCTACTTTAAGTTTTTTTTTTTTAATCGTAACATCCACTTTTGGTTACAGTATTATTGTGGCATATCTATTTTTTGTCTTTTATCAACAAAACAATTTAAATATCATTAAATACAATGACATTTTGATCTTCAATTATGAATTTTTTCCAAAGAATAAATATAAAAAATATAGCGGTTCAACGTACTTTGTATATTAAAAAAAAAAAAGAAGATTGAAATATTTTTTCATTAACGACATTTCAACGATTTTGTTGATGGAGGACTAAACATGGTCATGTCACGATAATATTAGACCAAATAAAGATGTTTTAATAAATCAAAAAAAAAAAAAAGACTAAAAATGTACTGTCACCTATAAATCTAGTACCAAAAATAAAATTAACTCTCTACTATACTATCGAAGCGGAGTGTGAAGGCTCTTGAGGCAAGGATATTACGCTTTTTTTGTGGACAAAAATATGTTCTACTACCTCATTCAATTTTTTTTATACTAATTATTTTTTTATTATTATACTAATTATAATATATGTATTTTTCTAATTTGTTAATAGTGAAAGTATTCAAGTAATCAATTATCAATTATTTCATTAATTCATATATGAATGTTAATTTATTAAATTTTTAATTTATATTTCAGATAAGGAAAACTATTTTAAAATCACTTTCTATTCTAAGACAGTCTAACAGCTTGTAATATAAATTTGTTTGATCGTCGGTTCAAAGATCATGTTTAAGGTTGGTAATGTATCTCATATGCAAAGTTACTGAACAAAAGCTCATCTCCTTCGATGGAGTCGTTACACCAGAGAAGTTGAACGTTGGTGGTGAGGTTGCGGCGCTGGTATGTCGGTTTCTTCAGTCAATTCATACCCTGATGATCCGGCAACTGATCCCTTCTCGCTCTCAATCGTTAGATTACCAGTGCGGTTTTCTGTCATTTCTTGCTCCTTTTTCTTTGCCCACAATACACAATACAGACCTACGATCAAGAACACCGCTCCAAGAATACTGCAAATTATACATAATTATAGAAGTACAGTACAATTTTTTAAAAATAAAAGTAATCATGGCGGGCCCCGCCTAACCCCACAGGCCTAAACGGGACAGGGCGGGTCCTTTAGGCCAGCATTAAAAGTCCACCTTGTCCTAAGGTGGGTTTGTCCCACCGTCTAATTTTGATAGATCTAACTCTAGTCTGTAGGTAAAGTCAATCAAATGATCCCAAGGAAATAAACTAGCTTAGACTCTTAGAGCAAGCCCATAAGTAATTTTTTTGTGAATTTTTTTCTATGATGAATGAGAAAAGTGATGATATGGAAGAGAGATGAGAGATGAGAGAGATGAAAATGAATTTGCCGTAAATATGTTTTTTTTTTTTTTTTTTTTTTTTTTTTTTTTTTTTATTGGAGCCCAGGAGAAGAACAAAAAATGAAAATAATTTTGTGCCCTGCTACGCACAAAAGCACACCTGCTAGGCGCGTTAAAGACAATATTTTCCATTTTTTTTCTGACAGCTTCTATTTTTTTTTCCCATCATTTTCTCTCAATTCTTTCCTACTTGTTTCTAAAAATTTGTGATAAAATTATATTAATGTGATTGATCTTAGTAGCTCATAGAGGTTGACCGGTTCAAACTAATACGGCCAATAATATATAGCACCTCATAGCTAATTGATCTGCTCAAGCCAAAAAAGTTAACAAGGCCCATAGGCAGCACTCATGGGAATCGGCAAAACCGAAGAAAGTCAATATGCAACACCGATGCATGAAAAGTGGAATTTAAAATTTTTTATTTATCAAATCAACTATTCCCTCCGTCACATTTTGTGTCTGGTTCGATTAATGAGACTTGACTGAAATTATTTTTAATCCAATTTTTCATAATATTAACTTTAGTATTACTATACAAAATTTATATATTTAGAAACTACACTACAAGTACTATTAAACACACAAAAATTAAAGAAAATAAACAAAGAAGAAAGAATTTATAATTTGACCAATAAATTATAAATAAGACAGATAAAATTGGACAGATGAAGTATATACTATCTGACCAATTCGACTAGGTTGTGATTCTTGAATTTGGAGTAGGGAGTGATGAGATAGTGCACATACGTACCTTCCCAAACTAACAATGGATCCGAAGAAGAATACAGAAAAAGCCATGGTGAAGATCAAAGATAGAGGTGTAGAGATTGACAAGAAGAGAGGACCTTTCTTGTGCACAACCCAAATTTGCAGGTAAACTACAAGCCCTGTCACAACAATTCCCTAGTAGTACATAGTTTTCATCAACACCAACAAATTTAGTATATATAATGCATATATGAATAATCACACCCAAAAAAAAAAAAAACTTACACAGTAAGCAACAGCTAGGAGTCCGAAATTCCAGCCAAGCTTCCATTGATCAAAATCTCTCTCAAAAATAAGAGCAACAACAAATGTTTGAACAGAGCTAATGGCAATCTGAAGAGTTGTGTTCAAAAGCTTGGAAGGGTATCGTCTCAGAACTCCACTCTGATGATATAAACATAAAATATAAACGTATAGTAGAGTTTTACTATAGATTTAAACTTAAGAAAATAAAGTTAAATATTACCTGTATGACCATCCAGAAACTCCCACAAACCGTAGATAAGAAGGTAAAAATGACACCCATAATCCATTTCTTGCCGGAAGAAGAAGCCACCGGAGATGCAGTGTGGCCGTGCAAGTTGAAGAGGTGGTGATGTAGCAGTAGCTTAAAAGTTGGTCCACTGTACAATGCAATGGTCGCCGCTCCACCACCGCAAAGGCATACCCCTAAGATCTTCACTATTCCACTCATTTTCTTTAGCTCCAACTTCTCCGTTCTGTAATTCCATAAACATATCAATATATTATTTTTGTGCATCAAAGTCGAACACTAATAAGTTATTAACCTGTAATAGCCTATATATCTTGAATCTCGTCAGAAATTTAATGGGCTGACTATTACAGGTCAATAACATGTTCTTGGACTTTGATGCACAAAAATAATTTGTGTTTAATCGTATCATATATAACTCCTAAAAGTTCATAGATCTAATTGACTTTTGAGGTTGATTTGATTTTTTTTTTTAAATGGAGAAATTAACAATAGTAAGTAGATATTAATTCGATCATATAATAAAGCAATAATTTGTACCGGAAAATAAGTGCCAAGAAGAAAGTTGGGACCGGAAGGCTGTTCGAAGCTGCAGCGCCCAAAGTTTCATTGGTTAGCTTCACCCCCACAGCATACAAATTCAAACTCAGTGTCATCCTGTCATGCCGTAAATTAATTTATTTATATTTATATGTCGGAGATAAATATAAAATAATATATATATATAGGGGCGCAATCTGGTGCGAATTGCCACCAGACCGCAAGAGCATTCACACATATATTTTCTTTTATAATTATTAAATCATGTTTTATATTTTGATAATATATTTACTCCATTACTATAGTTAAGGCCAAATTTAATTCACCCAAAAAAAGAGACCGCAAAAAGCATCCAGAAAGTCTTGAACGTTAAGTGTGGTGCAGTTTTCCTGCAAATAAGGAGCAGTTAATCCACTAGTCATATTGAGTTTTAATTAATTTAAAATTAAATTACTATCAAATCTCATTCAGCCTTTTGATACTTTGCTACTCTAGTCAAAATGTTGAAATCAAAATTTAAGAATTTGCTTATTTAATTAATGCATATAAAATTAAATAAATAAATTATTATATTGCTCTTTTTTTATTCTCAAAAAAATTATATTTCTTTTTTTTTAATGTCATTTGAAAATAAATAAATTATTATTAAATACTTCATATATAGGTATTCTGTAATACTGTTCCCCAAAAGGTTGAATCTCCAACCCTAAGGCCCCTTACATCCCGACCTAATTAACAAAGTATGTGGAGAAGATCTAAATCACGATAACTCGGTAGCTCGCCAGAAAATATCAAATGTCGGTGCGTACAAGGTATCTTTATAAGTAATACTCTTGTCTAATGCTCTTGTTGATGCTATGAAAAACTCATTGATGGAATGAAATGGAAAACAATTTAAGGGGAAAAAATCATCCATAATCACTAATAATTCAATTAATATCACATCATAAGACTATAATTCAATTATATTATTACCTTTCCAAAAAGAAGGCCATGGGAACCAAGGCTACGGTGCCGAAGAGTTGTCTATAAAACGAAAACACGAAAGTATTCATCCCAACATCAAAAGCAAACTTAATTGTGAAGAACATACATGCGTATGTTACTTGTATGGCTAATGCTATCAGATAAGGTGTCAATGCCTCCATGAAAAGTCTTCTTTTAACCTAAACTTACTTTACTATTGTAAGATACAACATATATATATATATATATATATATATATATATATATTACCGCTGGGAGGGGAGTCAGAAGATAATCTATTTATGAAACTTGCAAATTTGAGATTTTTAAAATCAATTTTATTTATTTATTTTAGAAAGGAAAACTCATGACTTCATTAATTAAAAAATTCAATACAAGATGATATTTGTTCTATTATATTTTCTCAGTCTTTTTCAACTTAAAGAATCAATGTTCCCACCACCGGGTTCAAATGTTCAATAATGTGACCATCCATCCAGAATAATAATAGAGATGTTATCACACAATATAGTAGTTGACATAATAATAAAATAATTTCATTATGCCTTTAATTAATATTAAAATATAGTGATATTTTTACTTTTAATTTCAAATTTTTGTGTGTACATTTTTTGAAATCTCAATTTTTTTTTTTGGGTGGGGGACGGTAATAGGTCGTGAGGAGTGATTCCGATGAATAAGATTAAAAGTTAATGGTCGGTTAATTAAGATATGTTAACATGAATTTCCTAGATTTTGTAATCCAACCTGATACCGGTTTGGAATAGGTGGTCGAATAGGATTATATTCTATATTGACTAGATTTTTTTTCTTTTTCCCCAAATTTAAGATGACATCGAATACGGAGCTAATTTAAGTATTAATTAAAAAATAAGTCTTAGTAAAACAATATCATAATATAAAATATATATTCTTAATTAATATTCCGTATATCTCAATAAAGATTACCTGATAATTAAGGTAATACCATAACTAAATTTTGTTTGGTTGATGACTTCTGTATCCTACTATGAAATTTAATACCTATTATTATATTTGTACCCACAATATTGGATTCCAATCCTTAAATAAAACCAATTTACATTTTTCTCCCCTACATTTGAACCATGGATCAAAATCAGGGGAAAAAAAAAAAGACGAAAAGAAAGTCATTGTCATGCATTAATAGATATAAAATTTGAGTAATCTTACATATAATAAAACTATATGGTTGGGAAATAATTAATGTTACAATTAATTATCAACATTATTATTATTACTAGCTATAAATATAAAATAGCCACAACACCTTTTACTATAATAAATAAAAAATTAAAAAAAAAAAGCACAACATTTGAAAAATAAAATAACTATTTTTTTTCTCGCCCATAATAAAGGATTACATTTATTGAATTAATGGAGTTATTAAATGTTATGATATTAGGATTAAAGATTCCGATTCCCGATTAATAGAAAATATGAAATGATGCAATATTAGTTAAATCTCTGGCTTTACAATGAAAGTCTATTTGATATGCTTTTGTTATTTATGGTGGTTTTTGGGATTACAATATTAATTAAATTTTCGATGAAAGCCTATTCAATATCTGAAACAGTGCAATTAATGCAAGCCTCTACACATAATTTTTCTCCATCTCAAATGCTTCAAAGAAATGGCAGAAGCGAGAAGGAATGAAGAAAGCAAATGTTGCGGGTCGTGGGTCAATTATTGGACTTCAGAATTAAAAAAAAAATCATTTAAGTCATAAATAAAAATTTAAATATATATAAATGTATATATCGTATAGGTCTTTAATGTTTTTCTGGATGTCTAAACTTATTAGGACTTTTAAAAGAAAAAAATACATTTGAATTATCTCCACAAAAAGTGGTCTTGGACTTATAAAATGACATTTGAGTTTATGGAATGTCATGTGCATAAAGAATATATTATATAATATATATAAAAAATATGTTCAATTAAAGTTTAAATTTACTCATTCATACAAAATTTGAAATTTGCTTTCTAAATGTAATTATCTTAGTTATTATTCGTATTGTGAAAATTATAATATAGATGAAATACAATTAAGAATAAATCAATGTAATTATGTAAATTCTCTCTATAAGTTTATTTGAATATGTACATAATTAGAGATTATATTAACCATACAAAATTTTAATTATAATTTTGTATTCTATAAAAATAATAAATATTTGACCAATGGAAGCTCAAAAATATTATTATATTAAACAATTTAAAATATTTTTATTTTTTCTATTTTTTTATTTATATTTGTAATAACATAATTTTTTCCCCGTGCATCGCGCGGGTGAATTACTAGTAATGTATAATAACTATATACTTTTCAATTATTGAAAAGTTTTAACTTGTAGGCTAAAAAATGATTCATTACATATAGTAAATTTTATGAGAAATAACTTAAAAATACAAATTCCAACAATATAAAAAATCATAAGATATGTTTTCACTTTGCAAATTAAATACTCACATAATCAAATTGCATAATTTAAATCATAACATTATACACTTACTTCGATTATATGCATAAAAACAATCCCAAATGAATATGAAAATAAAACCAAACATTCATACTCAACCAACATGGACATCAAAGTCCAAAACAATAATGTGAATAATGTTACAATATATTGATTCTTCAATTCAAAAATGATAATCGTTATTACTATAATAATACTAATAATTATTATTATGTGACAGTAAGTAATAACAGAACAATCAATTTTTTCAATCATAACCATTGACATTTGATATCAATAATTTTTAAAAAAATGCCACAAAATATTATCATTATTAACCCATATGTTTTGGATAAAAATGAAATTATGTTCAAAATTATAATTTCAAATCATATTATCAAAATTCAAAACTAATGATGATAGTAACAGTACAACATTTATTAACAGTAATAACAGGATAATTAATTTTCACTGAACAACATTTATTAATAATTATTATTATCAAATGTCACAAAATATCTTCAAAGAAATTTCAAAATATGATTCTTAAAATCATATTAAAATCATTATGGCAAGACCTAGAATGATGCAATATCTAATTCCCATAAAAAAAAAAGCATATGTTTTTTTTTTAATTGTGATGCAAAATCACACTCCATAATTTAAAAATATTATCAAATTATGACATAGTTGTAAAATTTAGTAATTGCAATGAATAATCCTAATAATCACATAATATTATGGCAATTACGAGATTTTTTTTTTTTTTTTTGAAAACCAGCCATTAGCATCGAAAATATGAAAGATAATGCATGCCATTAATGGAATGACTAATCTTAAACATTTTTTTTGAAGCGGTAATTACTCAGAAAATATGGTAATTAAGCATTACGCATTGAAATTTGATTTATGATGCCATGCATAAATGCAGGAATACACAGTCAGATTAATGCTAAGGCTAGAAAAAAATGCGGCAAAAAGAAGACAATCCTAACACATCTTCTCCAGCTTCACTCCGTCGTCTCAGTTCTCCGGCCACAACTACCCCACGATGTTGCTTACCCTCAACAAAGGCTCGCCGAAAAACGAAAACGAGAACAATTTCAGGCAAGAACAAAATATACACCAAGAGTAGTAACAAAATCCAAGTATATTCATATTCAAAAATAAATATACACAGTAATATTTTTGTTCCAAACTATGCACAGTAATATATACTTGTAAGGAAAAAACCACTCTAAAAAAGCACAAATTATGTATATATACATATATGCACAATGATTTGCAAAAGTAGATATATGAATGTACACTGGAAAATTGCTACAATTCTATTAGAAACAATATTCATACAGCATATATATTTATTATACAAAATATATGTCATGCAATTTTGACCAACTAGGCACATATTAAACATGCTCTGCTCTGATACCAAATGTTAGAATAATGCACAATCATAATACAAGTGATGATATAACCTCATAGCGGAAACCAATAGGATCGAGCACCTCCAGCCATAGTTGTCATCTCTATAGCATTACTCCAAGAATTGTAAGGAACTTTAGAATTTTGTCTACCAATTTATCTCCTATGCAACTAGATGGTGTTGTAACACCCCCAAATTCGTACCATTCGAGCCTAGTAGACATCACATACTTAAATTATATAAATTAGATAATAAACGTTAGAAATTCAAAACACAAAGATTAACAACCTAAGCATACTAGGGGATGCTATCGTCACAGCCACCCTTATGTAGGTGACTACAAGGCTAACTACTAAAATTCAAAATACAAATACTCTCAAGTATTATTGGTTCAGAGACCCGGGTGTCCAAGCACCATACAAACCCCAAAAGAGATAGTCAACATCTATATCAAACTTCTAACATAAGTTTCAAGAATCCTTATCAACATAAGTCAAGGCATAATAGAAGGGATAAAACACTAGGAGCTAGAACAAAATATACTACTCTAACTAACTCCTCTAGGCGTGCTCTCAGCATACATCATTCCAGACCTGAAAGAGGTTTTAAAAATAAAAGGAAAATAACCCGTTAGCATGAACATGCTAAGTGTAAACCACTGAACCATGTAAAGTAGATACATATATATAGGTTTGGAAAATAGATAATTTTGAGTTGCAAGTAACACATCATAGCACCAAATAGATCAATATATGACACATAGATCATATATATATATATATATATATATATATATATATATATATATATATATATATATATATATAACTCACACCTCAATGCACATGTGTAAGTATGAGAGTGTTTATGCACTTGGAAAAATCAATGTTTGAATATCATAATGCGAAAGCGTAAGAATAGTATTAACTCTTATACCGCCATAATAGTTTAACCTGCAAAACGAAGTAGTAATAGTATTCCAAACATATTCATATGTATATAAAGTGCATCGCTTCAAATCATTGTATAAATAGTTCTTTCAAAAGATCCATTTAGTATAAATAACACTTCTATATTGAAAATAATCATGTTTCGTAATAATACTGGAGGAAACTCATCAATCATCATAAAGGGAGGAAGAATCATCACCAGTGTGAATGATTCTTTAAGGGGATTCAGCAACCCTCTACTGATCCATATTCCATCTCCCTAATCAATCAATCAATCACAGGTGGAAACATGACCGCTACATTAAGTGTGCACACCCCATAATTAGGATTCCAAGCCCAGCGAGTAATAGCGCGAAGTAAATCGGGATATTTTCTACCAGGCTAATTTAATTCAATCATCTAAGATGTTTTCTACCGGATATAACATTTCTTCCGTAGGGACCGCAACCCAATCGGATCCTCCAAAAATATACATTTTCCTACATTGGATCTCTCATTAAAAATAGCGGTGGTATAAGCTTTAAAAACCTTTCCTCTCGTAGTTAGCGCGCGCACACACACGAGCGCGCGCACACACACGAGCGCGCGCACACACACGAGCGCGCGCACACACACGAGCGCGCGCACACACACACACACACATATATATATATATATATATATATATATATATATATATGTGTGTGTGTGTGTGTGTGTGTGTATATATGAGTCTGAAAGGATATAATATGCATAAGGTTTTCCAAAATAGATGGATAGCTATATATGTATGAAAACATAGGTTTTAGTTTAGAGATGTAGCGATAATTTAGATAGGGATATATATATATATATATATATATATATATATATGTGTGTGTGTGTGTGTGTGTGTGTGTGTGTGTGTGTGTGTGTGTGTGTGTGTGTGTGAGTTTGAAAGAATATCCTTTGGACTTGTTTCTTTCTATTTTAACCTTTTGACAATTTAGGCATTTATGCACAAATTTAACCACCCCCCTCTTCATCCTAGGCCACCAAAAATGTTTCTTAAGGTCTTTATACAATTTGTCACCCGCAGGATAGGATGTACTGAGTATAACGTATTGTGACCCTCCTCCATAATCTGTTTCTTGATCTCTTCACACTTCAATGGTATACACAAACGGCCCTTGTAACGCACACTACCATCCTGATGCAGTTCGAAATGTCCACACTTACCATCTGTCATCTTGGCCCTTACTCTGTCTACTTAACATCTCCCAATCGACTTGCCTTTATCTCCTCCAACATATTTGGCGCTATCCTTAAGCTATATAATCTCACCTCTTGGTCTACTTCACCATGTTCTTTCACCTCCAGATTCAATTTCTGAAAATTTCGGCACAACTCATCGGGAAGTACCCATGTGACATTGAGTAAATGACTAGACTTCCTACTCAAAGCGTCAACTACTACATTCGTCTTTCCTTCATGATATTGAATTACCAAGTCATAATCCTTAATCAATTCCAACCAACGTCGCTGCCTCATGTTTAATTCTCTTTGGGTGAAGATGTATTTCAAACTCTTGTTCATTTATTAAATTTCTAATTTATATTTCAAATAAGAAAAACTATTTTAAAACCATTTTCTATTGTAAGACAATCTAACAGCTTGTAATGTACATTGATAAATTCGTTTGACCGTCGATTCAAAGACCATGTTTAAGGTTGGTAATGTATATCATATGCAAAGTTATTGAACAAAAACTCAATCTCCTTTGGAGGGGTCGTTACACTAGAGAAATTGAACGTCGGTGGTGAGGTGGCGACGCTGGTGTGTTGATTTCTTCCGTCAATTCATACCCTGATGATCCGGCGATTGACCCCTTCTCACTCTCAACCGTTGGATTACCAGTGCTGTTTTCTACCATTTTTTGCTCCTTGTTCTTTCCCCACAATACACAGTACAAGCCTCCGATCAAGAACACCGCTCCCAGAATACTGCAATTTATACATAATTATAAACATACAACTTTAAAAAAAAAAAAAAAAGAAGTAATAATAGCGGGCCCTGCCTAACCCTGCGGGCCTAATCGGGACAGGGCAGGTCCCTTAGGCCCGCATTAAAAGTCCACCCTACCCTAAGGTGGGCTTTGTAGATATGTCCCACCAGCCCATTTTGATAGCGCTAACTCTAATCTCTATGTAAAGTAAGCCAAATGATCCCAATGAAATAAACTAGCTTAGAGCAAGTCCATTAGTATTTTTTTATGACGTGAATGAGAAAAGTGATAATATGGAAGAGAGAGAGGAGAAAGGAAAGAGATAAAAATAAATGTGCAACAAATATGATTTGTTGTGGAGCCCATAAGAAGAAGAAAAAAGGGAAAATTTTCTAACAGCTTTTGTTTTTTTTCCTCATTTCCTCTCCTTCCTTCCCTCCTTGGCTCCTAAAAATTTGTAAAAAACTATACTAATGTAGTTGCTCTTATTTAGCCCATAGAGGTTGACTGGTTCAAACTAATAAAGCCAATAGATAACACTCATAGCTGGTTGATTGCCTCAAGCCAAAAAAGTTAACCAGGCCCATAGGCGCAGCACTCATAGGAATCGGTTAAAACCCAAAAAAAATTAATATGAAGTGAAACTTGAAATTTTATATTTATCAAATCAACTATATACAATCCGACCAATTCGACTTTGTTGTCATTCTTGATTTTGGAGTAGGGAGTGATGAGATGTGCACATACGTACCTTCCCAAACTAACAATGGATCCGAAGAAGAATATAGAAAAAGCCATGGTGAGGATCAAAGATAGAGGTGTAGAGATTGACAAGAAGAGAGGACCTTTCTTCTGCACAACCCAAGTTTGCATGTAAACTACAAGCCCTGTCACAACAATTCCCTAGTAGTACGTAGTTTTCATCAACACCAACAAATTTAGTATATAATATAATGCATGAATAATAACACTCCAAAAAAAAAAAAAAAAAAAAAAAAAAAACTTACACAATAAGCAACAGCTAGGAGTCGGAAATTCCAGCCAAGCTTCCATTGATCAAAATCTCTCTCAAAAATAACAGCAACAACAAATGCTTGAACGGAGCTCATGGTAATCTGAATAGTTGTGCTCAAAAGCTTGGAAGGGTATCGTCTCAGAATTCCACTCTGATGATATGTGTCAATATGCACCGTGTTAAGCATATAATATATAAACAGAAATAACATATTCCAATTCGAGTCTTTAATTATAACTTATAAGAATATAATGGGATTCAATTTTTTAATTATAGATACTTCCAATCCAGTCATAGCTAGTCTTCCAATTATTTGTATAATGATAGTTTTTTCATTGAAGGGAGCAGTTAAAACTTAAAAGACAACTAGTTCTTGTATCACTATGGGTTTAAACTTTTAATTAAAACAAAATACACATTGACAAAAAGAAAATAAAGTTAAAAATTACCTGTATGACGATCCATAAACTCCCGGTAACGGAAGATAAGAAGGTCAAAATGACACCCATAATCCATTTCTTGCCGGAAGAAGAAGCAGCCCGAGATACAGCGTGGCCGGGCAAGTTGAAGAGGTGGTGATGTAGCAGTAGCTTAAAAGTTGGTCCAGTGTACAATGCAATAGTCGCCGCTCCCCCAGCGCAAAGGCATACCCCTAATATCTTCACTATTCCACTCATTTTCTTTAGCTCCAACTTTTCCGTTCTGTAATTCCGTAAGCATATCAGTGTTGCAAAAATCGCGCCTAGGCGTCGCCCGAACGCGGCGAAGAAGGCCGGAATCGGCCTCTTCCGCGACCGCGGAGGCCTAGCCGGCTGAACCTGCCGTTTAATTTTTTATTTTTTATTTTTATTTTGTTGTAAAGTGTTAAAAGTTCGGCAAGTCATTACTTTTCATTTGATTATTCGTTTTGGACAATTTTTTTTTTCAAATCGCGTATTTTTTCCAGATCTATACACCGCAAACAGCCAAAGGCAGTTTGGCCCTCTAATTTTTTCAAAAAATGCTTCTTTTGCTCTTAATTTTACTTTTTTTTTTAATGTATTTAGATGGTTTCAACAATATTTTGAACGATTTTACAACCAATTACATAAATAATTTGTAAGAAAAAACTAGAGAAACCTTATATTTTATTGGTGAATTTTACAATTTTTAGTTTAAATTTTTTTAAAATAAAATAAAAAATCAGCGCCTAGGGGCACCTAACGTATTTTGCAACATTGATATCAATATATCATTTTCGTGCATCAAAGTCGAACAACATATTATTGACCTGTAATAGCCTGTCATTAGAACTTCTATGAAATTTTGACGAGTAAAACTGACATATGGTCTCGATCCGCCTCCTCTACTCAAAAAGATGATGATCGACAATCACTGACGAAGAAGGCGACTAACAATCGCCCTACTCTTTAATGATGAAGGCGGTTTGTAATTGTTCGCCGGCGATAGGCCGTTTTACTCACTTGAATCTCGACGAAAATTTAATGGATGGGCTGTTACAGGTCAATAACATGTTCTTGGACTTCCATGCCCAAAAATAACTTGTGTTTATTCATATCACAACTTTTAAAAATTCATATATCTTTTTTTTTTTTTTTGAAAGTTAAAAATTCATATATCTAGTTGTTTCTTTATTTATTTTTATTTGAGCAAATACCAATTTTACTATTTTAGTCCTATGAGTATTAGTAAAATGACAATTTTTGTTCTTATGTTTAATTTCTACCAATTTTCATTCCCACGACTAGTGTTTTAGTACAAATTTTCATCCACAACCCGACATGATGAATTTTGACACTAAAACAATAGGCGTGAACGAAAATTGATACTAATACAATAGTCGTGGATGAAAACTGGAATGAATTAAACATTAGACAAAAACTGTTATTTTGCTAATACTCATAGGATCATAATTGATATTTGCTCATTTTTATTTTTATTTATGGAGAAACTTAATATCAATTCGATCATATAAGTGTTATATAGACGATACGATCGATAAAGCAATAATTTGTACCGGAAAATAAGTGCGAAGATGAAAGTTGAGACCGGAAGGCTGTTGTTAGCTGCAGCGCCCAAAGTTTCACTCGTTAGCTTCACCCCCACAGCATACAAATTCGAACTCAATGTCATCCTGTCATGCCATGAATGAATTAATTAATTAATTAATTTATATTTATATTTATATGTCGAGATAAATATAAAATAATAAATATACACGTATATTTAAAAAAAATTATTAAATCATGTTTTATATTTTGATGATAATATATTTAATCCATAAATATAGTTAATAAGGTCAAATTTAATTCACCCAAATAAAGAGACCGCAAAAAACATCCCGAAAGTCTTGAACGTTAAGTGTGGTGCAGTTTTCCTGCAAATAATAAGAAAGATCAATTAATTAATCCACTAGTTATATTGAGTTTTAATTAATTTAAAATTAAGTTACTATCAAATCTCGTTCAACCTAGAGCTTTTTCATGGCAAATTATGCTATGCAACTGTGTGCATTATGCAAGGTGCACACAAAATTGGATTCATAATTTCTATATTATAAATTCATAATTTCTATACTATAAATTCATAATTATTGAACTTTATATTTACAATTACAAAACTCTATGTTTATAATTTTCAATGTTCATATTCCCAATTGTTGAACTCTGTATTCACAAATCACTGAACTATATATTCTTAATTTGATAACTATACAATTTAGAAATTATAAATCTATAGTATAGAAATTATGAATCTACAATTTAGAAATTATGAATCTATAATATAAAAATTATGAATCAAATTCTGTGTGCACCTTGCATGATGCACACGATTGCACAGCATAACGCTCCTTTTTCATACTTTGCTACTCTAGTCAAAACGGTGAAATCAAAATTTATGAATTTGCTTATTTAATTAATGCATGAAAGCTGAAATTTTCGATTTTAACGTAAGAAGTGGTTGGTTAGTCGAGAAATAACTCCACCAAAAAACTAATTACTCCGTATTATATTGCTCTTTTACGTCATTTGGAAACAAATAAATTATTATTAAATACTTAATAAGTATTTCGTAATATTATTCTCCCAAAATGTTAAATCTCCAATCCCAAAGTCCCTCGTGCCCCGATTCAAAAAAAGCAATGTGGAGAAGATATAAATTACGATAATTCGATGGCTTAACAAACAAGATCAAATACCGATGCATACAAAAACTCATTGATAGAATGAAATGTAAAACAAAATAAGGGGAAGAGGGGGGGGGGGGGGGTTGGACAACCACTAATAATCCAATTAACATCACATCAGAAGATTATAATTCATTACCATTCCAAAATGAAGGCGATGGGAGTCAAGACTGCGGCACCGAAGAATTGTCTATAAAATGAAAACACGAAAGTATTCATCCCAACGTCAAAAGCAAACTTACTTATGAAGAACATGCCGGTGTATATTACTTGTATGGCTAATGCCATCAAATAAGGTGACAATGCCTCCATGAAAATTTCTTCTTTTCACCTAAACTTACTTTGATATTGTAAGATACAATATATATTGGAGCGGGGGAAGGTGGGGAGAGGGGACTCGGAAGGTAATCTATTTATGAAACTCGCAAATTTAGAATTTTTAAAATTAATTTATAATTTACTTGTTAATAAAAGATTTTTTCTTGAAACGCCCATGATTCTTCACAATGTAATCTTTGTTATTTTTTATACTTTCTCAATTTTTTTTAGTCTAAAATATCAATGCTTACACTACCTGGTTCAATTACGTGACCACCAAATTCAAAATAGTAACAGAAGTGCCAATATAATGATATTTTTACTTTTAATTTCAATTTTTTTGTGTACATTTTTTGAAATCTCAAGATTTTTTTTTTTTTCTTTTTATTGAGGGGGGCGGGGGCGGTGGGGTAGGTCGTAAGCAGTGATGCCGATGAATAAGATTAAAACTTAATGGTCGGATAATTACGATATGTTAACATGAATTTCCTAGATTTTGTAATCCAACCTAATACCGATTTGGAGTAGGTGGTCGATTATTAGGATTATGTTCTATATTGACTAGATTTTTTTTTTCTTCCATATTTAAGATGAAAACGGTTAGCAAGCTAAGTATTACTTAGCGAATAAGTATTTTTTTTTTTTTTTTTTTTGGTAGAGGGAAGGGGTCTTGGAACTCTTAATTAATTGTGTAAGGCAGTATCATAAAAGATACGGAGTATACTCTTAATTAATATTCCATATATCTCAATAAAGATTTGCACAAAAATATTAAACCTTAATTATCACATACTATGATTCTGTTTGTTTGAGCTTATAACTTATTTTAAATTACTAATTAATAAGTCTTGTTTGGTTGATGACTTTTGTGTCTTACTATGAGATTTAATACCTATTACTCTGTACTATGTTTGTACCTACAATATTGGATTCCAAGATGCATTAAGTAATTATATAAAAACTCATTACATTTTTCTCCTCTACTTTTGAACAATGGAATTAAAATGAGAAAGAAAGAAAGAAAAAAAAAAAAATATATATATATATATATATATATATATATATATATATATATATATATATCCTTATTAATTGGTGTGATTCATGCTTCCTCTTGTTGTCATTTCCACCAGAAATAAATTATTGATTTGATCAAGTATCCTTACGTGCTTCACTGCAATTTTAGTGTATTGACACATTGCACATTAAAAAAAAAAAAACATAACCAAATCCTATTTTTCCAAAAATACAATGATAATAGACATAGTTTCTTATCTGTGTTGAATATATATTGTAAATTAGGTGTACCGTTTCATCAATGCACAATGCATGATTCTAATTAATTGACCAATGTTCATGTTAAATTTTATATTGTATTTTTTTTTAAACAACCATTAAAGCGAACTATTATTGTGAAATTAAATCACGAATACAATGAGAGATATATGCATCCCACACCTCCCGACCAATATACGAGCAAGAAGTTCTGGGCAGAGAGTGAGCAATCACATTGGCTGCTATATTGTATTTGTTAATACAATCTAACACACACTCACTAGAGATCAAATGCGAAGGAGGTCTCCAAGTAAAACATGCAGATTAATTATAGTCATTGGTGTTGCCAAAATCAACCGCCCAGAATGAACATTAAAAAAAAAAAAAAAAAAAAACACGAGGACGTTATGGTAATTTTGCTTATTGTTGAAAGCATAAGGTGCATATTTTCAAAGCTTAAGGTGCGTTAATGTGCGTCATTTTAACACTTAGGGGGCGTTTGGTTCAGGTTATATTATATAACCAAGGGAATGTGACATTCCCGAGCTTACATTCCTATGTTTGGTTCATTTTCTCTGAGGGAATATAACATTCCCAGGGAATGTAACATTCCCTCCACATAGGATTTTGAAGGGAATGTGATTCCCTTCATTTTGTTAGGTAATGTAAGATAACCTTGCATATTTATGAATTTTGTCATTTTAATTCTAATTATTTAAAGATATATATTTTATGTTAGCTTATTATTATTATTAATATGATACCGTTATCTTATTTATTTAATTTAATGATTAAATTTATTAAAATATATGAAAATATGTTAAGGATATTAGATATATATATATATATATATATATATATATATATATATATATATATATATATATATATATATATATATATATATATATAAAGATAACCCTAAACCAAACATGATA